CTATGTAAATAGCGTCTGTAATGTGTTTATGCCGTGTACGTGTGTGTATATATATTGGTACGTGTTAACACAGATACGAGGTTTCTGGAGTCGTGCGAAGAAGCGACGTGTGAGCGAGAGCACCGAGATTACAAAGACACATCCTTCGATCAATAGTTAAGCTCCGTTTATCGTTCTTACACGCGGGGGAGTCCAGTGTAGGATAATATTATTTCGTTTACACGTTCCGCTGACGCACACACATGCGTTTATATATATATATATATATATATGTTTATATATCATCGTGCTTGCGCACGTACGTGTTTACGCGTCTTCAGGGTATCGCGCGCTATTAAATGAAGTAAGTATGGCAGGCCGGTCGTGCGCCCGTCGGGCGTGCCGGCAACGATCCGACCACATTGTAAGACGCTGTACAAAAATATCCGCTTATAATAATTAGTAATAATAAACGGCGCGCCCGGCGAGTCTAGCGACGGTTCCCACCGATATGTCTTGACATGGTTCTACGGGCTTAATGTCTGGCGATCTGTAGTCCTTTCGGCCGCTGCGGTCGCTGATAAGTACTTCTGTTTGCAATACCTGTGAAATGTTCGAAGTTTGGAAACGATACTGTCTCTCGATTTTGTTCGATTATTATTCAAGTAGAAGCATAGAGGGTGTAGACAATTCTACGCGTACAGTGCTTTTTCATGTACAGCATCAGAGTTTCTTAACAGCGTACGCCGCTATATCAGCCAGCAGAAAAGATTAGAGTCGCTCAAACTCCCGTTTTCACTTTCGTTTCTATAACTTGTCTAAAGATATGTTCTAACATCTGAGACGGAAGTTCCTCAATGAAGCAAACTTTCGCATATACGTATAACTAAATAAACAATTCGAATCTGGAAAATCCTTTGTCTCGACTTTGTCCTTTTTTATAAGTTAGTAAAAAATAAAATTTAGAAATAGAAAAAAGTAGAATAAAAATAAGAAACGTAGACTAATGTGAAAGATTGTAAGGAAAAATGATTAAAACACGAAATGCAAAAAATGATTTAAAATAGCTCTTTTTGTTACATTTCTCGAATGCGTTTTTCTATAATAGCAAAGTATATATTTCGAACTTCTGACTCAGGTAATTATACTATTTCGCTAATTTTACTTTCATATCTATCAACTTTTTTATAACTCATTTCCGTTCACACATTGCCGTTTTCCTTCCTTTAATAATTATAATTGTATATAGACGTTGAGAAGTCATTTGCAAATATATATTCATGAAATTATTTGCATGTAATTAAAAAGGAGAAAATTAGTAAGTATTAGATATGCCTCGTACGAATCCTAAGCTAAATGTAGGGCCTGCAGAGGATCGCATTTGGCGTATCGTTAATTTTTATTATCTAAATATCAGAATTAAATTTAACGTAGTAGTTTTTAACGCGAATATATTTCTTATTTTTAGATTTCATGCCAAAATAAAAAAAAATTGTATAACTGATAATAAAACATAGCATAGTATAATTAAAATCAAGATTTTCCCGGATTTAAATGGAAATTAATTTTAGAACGCCAATGTGTGCCCGGCAGTTTTATACTATTATAAATATAACTTCTTAGAAAAAACATCTAGTGCATATAAGTATATATAAGAGATATAGGTATATATAATATATATCTTTTATAATCGTAAAATAATGCATAATAATATATATATTATATGTAACGTACATATATATGTATATATATATATGTATATGTTAACAAATAAATTCTCTTAAATCTCGTACATTCACGATATGTATACGATCTTTAGTCGTTATAGCTTCGTCAAGCCTTAAATCGACTTAGTTAATCAGTTTATCTTACAATTAAATCTGGGCGTATAAATGATATGTGTTCGTGTGTATGTGATATCGTCGCGCGTCTCTGCCTGCGCACTCGAAAGAGAAGATTTTAGTTTAGAAATTAGACCTCGCACTATTTTAATTAAATTATTTTTTTTTTGAAGAACATAAATGCAACAATCTTATTTCAATCAAATTATGAATAAAATTTAACATAAACAAAATAAATGTAAAGATTTATTTATTCATCGTTAGATTTAACAGTTTACATTTATTTTTAGATTGAAATTTAGCAATCATAATGTAATCACTCTGTTTCTACTTTGAGATAAAAGGTTAAAGTAAAATATTTTAATATTTCAATTTTGGATAGTTACAAAATATTAAAAATTATTTTATTTAATTATTCCGTAAATTTTCCTTATTAATTTGTTGAAGTATTCATCTATTAAATTGGGCAAAAGATTCTAATATTTTACACATGTGTGAAAAATATTGGTGACACGATATGTTGCAATTATATATAAGCGTATTATTTTACATACCGAACTAAAATCCAAAAAACTCAGATATCCTCTGAAGTGCTCAGCTTCAAAATTCACTTTCGAAAAGCTTGGCTTGACGCGCCATATGACGCGCATACCGGTGACCTTAATAATCCGCCATGCGGTGTATGCGCCTTATAATAATGCCTTAGGCTTAATTCTACCTTATATTCATATGTATCGAATAGCAAAACACATGTTACTTTCTGTGTCAGTACTGTAATCAGCACTACGTCCTGTGAACTACGTTTTTTTATACGATCGATCTCCCGTATGATGTCCTCGCTGAGAAACGCATTCGTCGCTGAATATGTATCGTTGAATACATTTACCGAATATTTTTCAAAGCGAAGCGCGTGAAATATATTTTCGTATGCCACGATTTTCCGTATGTGAACTTAAATCATTATTAACAGAAGGGAAATATTTTAACAGAGCTACATGCTCCTACAGTTGTTTGTATCTCGCGTCTCGTGGTCATCACGAACGCGTGCATTGCATACGTTTCCTTCTGCAAGATGGTGCAATTTTAGTGCACACGTGAGCTGTCGCGGCAGCAAAGTAACCGAGTCGTAAAGCGAACGCAACGAGGCATTTGAATAACCGCGTTTGTGCTCTACCGACTTTGACAAGTGTCGGTTTCCTGTTGAGAGTATCGTTGGGAGTATTACGTGTCATCAGCACAGTCGTTATCTCATTTCGCGCAGTCGGGTCTTTGCGAATCAAGTTAAGTATCGCAGCGATCTCAAGATGTTAGCGACTATCGCGCGCGGGGACATTCTGGCAGAAAAGTTGATAAAAGACGAACGTCATGAAGCATTATTTTCTTTTAATCCCTGAATTTAATCGATCCACTTTATTCTCTGTTAGTGTATCTTAATCAATAAGAACCTTTTATGATGAATAAATAGGAAGATCGGAATGACCTACTTTCTGTTAAGTATAAAATATCCGTTTGAATAATTCCTGTAAATTTCTGGGAAGAATTTTAAATAATAAGCTAAAAAAAAAGAAATAAATAAAAATAATAACCAATGGGGTGAAATCTTGGAAGATGGTGACATACAGAAAATACGAGCATACGGAGGATATCGACTATTCGCAGCATTGTGTTCAACAGGAACGCATTGATATGTATATAACGAGTGACCCGGAATCTGACTTCCGGTCACTCGGATCCGCTAGTATTACTACGCCTCGCGCCGCGAGCTTAACCGATAACCATGAAATAATTGGCAACGATGCTGATATGTAACGTTCCGGTGAAGAAAACTCGTGCGCTTTTCGCGAGCGAGAATTCTACGGTCCACTGGTCGATCAACGTTTGTTCCTAGCAGTCACTCAGATTCTATACTATCGAACTACATGATACCTCGCTGCCTAATAAGAATTAAAGGTATATGTACTTTTATTAGAAGTCTTTATTCAGAGTAGAAGTCTTTTCGAATTATCATAAACGCACGGCACGAGGTGTCACAGGTTCATTTGCCAGAGTTTCCCTTGGGTTGTTTGTAATTCGATCGTAAAGTATCTGAGAATTCTATAAATAACAATGAAATCATTAGAAATTAATCCACCATCGCATAGCAAATACATCTTCTACGTACACTGCTCAATATATTAATGTCTAATGATCCTGCAATGTCGGTGATTATTATTTCGACATTTGCGGGAATTGCTCATGATATTTACTGCGATCTGGCTCATGATATTTACCGCAACGATTAATTTTTTAACACAATCATTGTACTTTCGCGAATTGTATTTCACGGGCTTGATCAAACGCGGCGAATAAACGGGCTTTACAGTGTACACTGAACGTTAAGCTATCGCGAAAATGAATTGGGTCTTATTGTAACATCAAGTAATTTGGAAATGGCACTGAAAGAAAATCGATTCGATTAAAATTTAAATATTTCGGCAAGCTTTCGTGTAAGCAACGAATAGATTGTCGTCCGCGCACTAAATCGAAGGGGCCATTCCAATGACTGAACTGAAAAAGGAAAATATCGTGAAAAAAAAACGCTCGGTGAGATATCCGAAAGAGTATAAAGTACTCAGTTCTCAAAAGATCGATTGTCGCGGTTACCAAATGCTACATGATTGTCCACGCGCGATCGCATCGCATGGACGCGTGTCTGCACAGAAAAGCAACCATCGCTATGCGCATAATATATATACCTCTCCGCACACGAGACACATGTCCTCGCGTGCCCTCCTGGGAAATAAAAAAGCGGCTTGTCAAAGGGCAAAAGGAATCAATCAATCAATTTCTATCCGTTGCTCCGAATCGTAGCAATCCGTTTGAATAATATCAGATGCTTCCTTCGTCAGCCGGTGTTCAAATCTTGTTATAATTTGGCCGATCGTGACAAACGAACATCGTGATAATACGCCGACTTTTCGTCTCGCAATTCACTCAGAGAAAAATTCATTGATTTAAAGAAATTCATTCTCAAATCAAAGAAAGTCATTTCTTTGATTTAAACATTATTTTCTGAAATCAAATAAAAAAATTCATTTGATTTAAAGAAATTATGTTCAAATCAAAGAAATTTTTTCTTTAACCGTATAGCAAAGAAACATTTCTTAAATCGAAGAAACCTTTCTTTGGATGCTTGCATCATTTCCATAACAGCGTCCACACGAATATATTAAATTATCGCGATGATACGTGATAAAGTAGCGTTTCTCAATTTCTACAAAAGGATGGCCATCGTGGAATCGTGACACGTCTCCGCTATCGCGTCACGATTATCTCGAAAGGCACGGAATCCTTCTTCTTTTTTGCAGAACTGAATAACAAAAATTAAAAATTTGTAATGACCTACAGATTCTACAGCAATCACGTGACTTATAGCATGGTTTTAAAGAAGACGAGAAATATGATTATTAATCGTTCCGTCGAAACGAAAAGTCGACCGTCTGTCACCGCGCTGCCGCATTCTTGAGAGATTAAAGTAGAACACCAGTAAGAATAATCAACGGTAGTGTCTTGTCCAAATACAATCTGCACCCAGCAGCTGATGACGAGAATTTTCCGGCGTTCTTGCCCACGCAGCCCATTCTATCGAGCGGAATACTCTGCACGGAGTATTCACGATGTTCCGAAACCATCATACAGACTGTTCGCTTCTTTGACATCATCTCGTCATCTTTGTCGCGCAGATTTCCGAGCCACACGGAATACCATCGAAGCTCGCAGTCGCAAATCAAAGGATTATCTACACGAGAGAAAAACGGAGTGGAAGAGAGATAAAATTAATAAAATCGCACGATAAAAAATGGATTACGCTTCTACTGAAATGGAACCTGATCAACTTTTGCTAAAAGTATAGCTTTAACGTACAATATGTTATTTATAATTCGGTGATTATTAATTTTTAATATGTATGATGATTTTCCTGTTACTCCTTTTCTGAATCACGATAATGATTCTTTTAAACGTCAAAATGATGTTCAAATAAATCGTTACTGATTGCAAAAGTAACTTTTAATAATCATTTTGGTAATCTATTTTGAGTTGTAATAATTAATTATTTAATCAGTGATGCCATTTTAACGTTGTGATGACTTATGTTCTGCTTGCTATACACAATGGATCCGTTCATATCTCAGATTAATTTTCATTACTTTTAAAAGTGTACAAAAATTATAAAGTGATTTTTACATATACTTAAAATCTCTAAAAAGTAGTACTTGTAAAAGGTTGTGTATTTAAAAAAATTGTAGATAAATGTTATAATTAATTACTTAGTATTCCTAGTATTTAAAAAAAAGTAATATGCAGAACACAAATGACTCAATTGTGTATATTAAAAATATTCAATAAGATGTGAGAAATAAAGATTTTTTACTTTTAAAATATATTTCATTCGTTTAAATATTATGGTCTTAATTTAAGTAAAGGGAACTAATAAAATTTCTGAATTATCGCATATTCGATTAAAAGAAAAGTAATATAAATGTTAAATAAAAGAAGAGATGCTTTTTTTTACCTGTCATGTCTATGTGACGTAGAGTATCAACGATGTTCTCCGTAACTTCTTCCGGGATATGTGTGAGTCTGTTATTTTGCAAATTTAAAGTTTCTAGCGAATTGAGATTTTCAAATACCAGAGGCGGAAGTATTTTAATCCTGAAAACATTACGTGAAGTTGTAGATTATTTTGCATATATATTAGAAAAATTGAAATACTTTTCGTTCTAAATTCCTAAGTTGCATGGAAAGAAAGGATATTACATATTTTTTTGCAGATTAAGGAAAGTGATGGAATCTCCATAGCCCGTGAAAGCGTCCTCCGGAAGTACAGTGATGTTATTTGACCGTAAATCAAGGTGGCGTAAGCGATGCAAACGTCGCAGAGCGTCACTCGGTACCATATGCAAATTGTTATCTCCCAGTCGTAAATATTGCAGATTTTCTAAAATGAAAATTACAGAAAGAATATATTAAAAAATTTTAATATATATATATATA